TCTGTCTGTCTGTCTGTCAACTTCCAGAAATAGTTATTGCTTATTAGTAGATAAATTATATTAATCAGCTATACTGCCATTTAGTAGTCGGCTTTTGAAGAGGAATGGAATTGAGTGACTCACAAATACATCTAGAGAATTTGCACTTTTAATGGCTTGTGCAATTAATAATTAAATGAAACTGTTCCATTTGAAGCTGTTAAAGTCCTTGTTATGTATTGGGACTGGAACATTCCAGGACTGTTTCTACCAGTGACTGGCTGAGCTTGGAGCTCTAGAATAAAAGCCCACCAGGACTCTGGAGGTTGCCAGTGGGGAAGTAATGGTTCTGATAATCGCCTATCATTGGTAGTTGTTTGGGAAGTGGGTGGAGTTGCATGCTATTTAACAGGGCCATTGCCTTGGCAGTTAGTCTTTTGTCTTTGTTTTGTTCTTGCTGAATCACCAATAAAGCAGACCTGATCACTATGCTTGGGGTCAGACCATCCATGGAACCCAGTATTTAACAGTCCTATAGCTGTTTTGGATCAGATTGAGTCACTTGAGAGGTAGCTGAAGCTCTCAGGAGCAGGCTGTACATTACATGGTAGCAAACATGGGTGGTGTATTAGGCTCTACAGCCAATCCATACTTGTGAGATACACATATTCCCAAATGCATTGTTTCATTTGGACATTACAGTTTTAGTTGTACTTTTAAAATCTTGGTTGTAAATATATATACATACACATACACACACATACATATACACACACACTAGGAATAAGGTCCGTTGTGGAAATAAATACAATGAGCTCTAGAAAGAAGCTCTGGGAGAGTGCCAAGGCCTTGGCACTCAGTGTCAATTTGCTGTGGTGACCTCCTCAAACCCCACCCTCTCCAGGTTCCACCCTTGAAATCCCCAGGAATCTCCCAACTTGGAGTTGGCAACCCCATGCCCTTCCCAGCTAACCATCAACCTACCATTATTTGCCCCTCTGACTGCAGCTGACTTCTGCCCTCCCTCCTGGAGATCAGTTGTAATTCTGAGTGATCTCCCCCCCTCACCTGAATATTGGCAACAATGGTTCGCCAGGAGAAAATGGCTGGTTTGGAGGATGGAGTCTATGGCATTGTACCTGTCTGAGGTCCCACCCCTCCTCAAACCTCACCCTTTCTAGGCTCCACCCCTCAACTCTATCTTCTTCCCAGCCAAGCATCAATCTGCCATTATCTGCCCCTCTGATTTCAGCTTTCCATCTCCTCCCCCCTCCCTTTTGGAGATCAGTTGTAATTCTGTGATCTCTACCCCTCACCTGGAGAGATTGGCAACAGTGGTTCCCCAGGAGGGAATGGCTGGTTGGGAGGGTGGAGTCTATGGCATTGTACCTGTCTGAGGTGCCACCCCTCCTCAAACCTCACCCTCTCCAGGTTCCATCCCTCAAATATCCAGGAATTTCCCACCTGGAGTTGGCAACCCTATCTCATTCCCAGCCAACCATCAACCTACTTTTATTTCCCCCTCACTCTGCAGCTTTTCTTCCCCCCCACACGTGCAGTCTCTACCGTGCTCTGAAGCCCTGACTGCCACATCACATTGGCTATCATGGGAGGGGGGCATCTCAGCAGGGTATAAGGACATAGAGTCCACCCTTTTCTCCAGGGGAACTGATCTCTGCCATCTGGAGAGCAGTTGTAATTCTGAGTGATCTCCAGCCCTCACCTGGAGATTGGCAACAGTGGTTTGCCTGGAGGAAAAGTATTCTTTCTCTGCAGTGGGAACCAAAACAGCTTACATAATTCTCCTCTCCCCCTTTTGACTTGCACAACAACCCTGTGAGGTAGGTTAAGCTGAAAGTCTGTGACTGGTCCAGTTTACAACTCCAGTTTACAACTCAGCTGTTTACAAGCTCTAGTTTACAACTCAGCTGTTCGCCTCCCATCCTCATCCCATGGGCGTATCTCACTCCTTAAGTTCGCTGCCACCACTCACTGAATTGTCACTGGCTTTTAGAGGGACAGTGAGACCCCTTTGGCCAAATCTCCCTATTTGGAGATGGAATCCTCAATCTTTGGGGGATCCCTGGAAAGTCGGCAACTCAAGGGTATGGCCTTTCCTTGCTTCCCTGGACTTCCCCCTCCCTTTGGTATTGTGCAGAGTGGGGGAGACTATGTGGTCAGAGCACAACACAGATTATTAGCCCAAATAAAAGAATTCATTTAACTATTTACACAATTATGGAGCACACACATGCTAAATGAATCAGGCAGAACTGTAGGAGTAAGCACACACTATGAACCAACAGGACATAAATCAACAGGGGTTAAACACAATCATCTTTCCGTACACACAAGACACTCTACCTCTGGAGGTTGTGGGCTCAGGATAGGATCTCTCCTTGGACCAGCCTGTGGCTCTGCTTCAGCCTCTCTCTCTTGTCCAAGAGAGCAGGGAAACTTCCATTCATTCCCTAGTCCAGCCGGCTGTGGAGTGGCTGAATTTCTGCTGCCTCCCAGGGTTCCCCCACATCTCTGGCTTGTGGCCTGGTCAGCACAGGCAGCAGGAGCCTTTCCTCACCTCCTGTAGGATGAAAACTGCCTCCTCCCTGGATGGGCTGGAGTCTATATTGATGCTGCCCCGCCCCTTTTTGGCCTTGGGGCAGCTGGGAACTGTAGGCCAGCAGATGAGGAAGCCCCATTTGACCCAGTGAGTGATACCTGCAGGCCCCTCTCTGGAACTACAGCTCAATTAAACCTTATGGGAAACCATTTTAAACAAACAACAGATGGCAGCCATCTTTCAAACACTGCCATTTCGTTACACCTACCAACAGCCACTGAGGGGAAAGTTAGTCCCACACAGGAGGCAAGCAGGAGAAGCATCTTCATCAAAAGAGAAAGCTGATTGCCAGTAATTCTGACAGGGTACAGTGGTTGAAGGAGAAGTGGATGGGGAAGAGGAGCAAACCCAGCACCCGGCCAATGGCACGTGAGTACTCTTGAGTGGTGGCTGATGGGTCAGTGGCTGAGGAGTGCATTGCACAGCCAATGGGAGAGTTGCAAAGTGCCACTCCGAAACACAGTTATATATTAGGAGAGATTAATGTGTAAAGTAACCCTCCGACTTGAGCTAAAAGGATGGGAAGAGCTCCTGCATTTGTTCATTATGGAACTTTAATTCACTCCTTATCACAACATTTATTACTAAAGTGAATGAAGTTGTTAAGCAGTCATTTTACAGAATGATTGGGAAGTAAACCCACAGTCCTTCACACAGCTTGCTTGTGTCCAGAGGTAGCAATCCTAAGACTTTTTGCTTGTCAGAAATCAGTGGAGTTTATTTCTGAGTAAAACAAACAGAGCTATGTATTGAGCAGCAAGGATTATTTTAGATTACATTTTTATGAATCCAGATATATGTGCAGTGCCAGATCCCAAAAGTGTGTACCATAATTTGTCACAAACTGGGCTTGGTTCATGGTTCGTGAACCTTGGTTTGTGCCATCCCATCCCCACAAACCTCCCATGAACCTTCCAGGTGGCTTTGGGAGGTTCGTGTGGTTCGTGTCTTGAGACAAGCTGCCACCGAGGCTTCAAGAAGGCATTTAAAGAGACTGCAGTCCTTCTCCAAGCCAGTGGCCTTCTGAGATCACTTGAGAGCCGTGCTACGGTGGCAGCGGCGCAGCTTGCAAAAGCCGTTTAAAGAGAAACCACTGCATCATGAACCATGAACCGATTATTTAAATGGACAGGTTTGTGGAGGTTTGTGGTTCACGAGACCCCATGAAGCTTCATGAACCTCTGTTTTCCCGGTTCATGCCCATCCCTACCCCTAAACTCCTGAAGCTGGCATTCTCTGTGTGCATTTTCCTGTCAAGTTATAGTTTTGAGACAGTGTTAAAAACGGCTAAAAATCATGTATGGTAAACATATTTGACATGTTTATATATTATTGCATGCAACACTCCCCCCCCCCTTTTTCCTTTGCAACCAAAAATGGGGGGGAAGTAATCAGTCAGCTGCAACCCACGCCATTCAGTACTCTCCCACTGATTAGACTGTTCTGCTTTATCACTGTTCCATCCCTAAAATATGGGCCGTTAACTAATTACCATATGTCTCACTTCCTTTATAACTCCATCTGACTTGCAGCTGCTGTTCAAGTAAGTACATATAAAGCTGCCTTATGCTGAGTCAAACCAATCATCAGTCTAAGTCAGTATATTCAATTCTGGTTGACAACAGCTTTCCATGGACTCAAGAAAAGAAAAATAGTACCTGAGATTTCCAGCAAGTAAGGCATGAGCTCTGTCAGTGAGCCATGGCCCCTTCCCAGTAGGGAATATAGGCTGTAAAAACACTGGACTCAGGTTTGAATGCATTTTGAGTCAGACCAGGCACTCATACAGATTATCATTTCATGACACATTTTAACAAATGCTCTGTGTGTCTCAGAATCCTCTTTACTTCTTGGCAAGATGAAACAGATGATCCGTGTGATGAGACAGCTCATCCTGGGTTAGCCTGATCCTTTTGGGAGGTTGTCAGAATTACACATTATCTACAGACACGAAACTTAGCCATTATACACAGTACTGAAAAGTTGCCTTTTTCTAATTTTGCCTTCCATTTGTTCTTTAAAAAAATAGTTGCACATTTGCACAAGCTGTCATTATATTCTAACTGCTACCTTCAGTCGCATTTGAAGGACTCAACCCCTTACCTCTGGAAGCCATTCTCAGCGCCTGTTAAATTTCTGAGATATCCTCACATTTTCAAGCATTTCATAATATCCATATGGGCTAGAATCTTGAACTTAAAAGAATCAAAACTAACATTACGGGGATGCCAATACTGCCTGCAGTTTTACAGCTTGATAGGGTTCTGTCTCAGAAACACATTTAGGCAGTAAATCCTCACATCTCTCTTCTTTTAGTTCGTCCTCCAAATTCAGGGAGCTGGCTTGGCTTTCTGACTTTAGAATAATAACTTTTCTAACACTTATTCTTTCACTGTTACAGTGCTTGAAGAAACCTGAGGATCACCATGGGGAATCATGTTGGGAAACGTGATCAAAGTGCTGAGAAGCTAAAGGTAAGATATTTTGTTAGAAGCTGTGTCAATAGGCTGGAGCAGGACTCAGGAGATGCATCATATTAAAAAAAATACAAATGGAAATATTTACAGACATTCCATTCCTTGATGTTGATTGCTACAGAAATGCATGGTTGGTAAAAGTTTGATAGATGTGGTTTCTTTCTTTCTGCTGCACAGAGACAGGATGTGACAAATGTTTCTCCTGCCATAGTGTTTTGAGTTCAAGAGGATCCTTTCCTCAGGAAATGGATATAAAATTTGCTGCTAGTTATACTATTATTATTTTTAATTGAACACAATTGGGGCCTGGTAGAGATGTGATGGCATGGGGAATTTTGGAGAACACTGAAAAACCTCTTTTGGAATGAGAGCAATTCTTTTTAAGACAAGGTTTTACTCATTCAGAATAGTAATTTTAAGTTAGACAATCTTCTGCATATATAGTGAAAAGTGAGGGACCCACAAGGACTTGCAGGTGGCATCTCATTTCCCCTCTCCCACTATTTCCTCTTTCTCTTCCCGGAAAGCACCCATAGCCCTGCTTTCCATCTTTCCCTCTGCCTGGCAGATTTTCCTAGGAAAATCATGGCTGAGGTGTGCAGTGCTTGCCACCAGACTCAGTTATATGGTGGGGAACCCCCAAGGACATGCAACTCCCATATCATCCTGACAGCCCCCCATATACTTATTTTCCCCTGGTTTTTTCTCTCCTCCTCCTCTACCAATCAAGCTATCTTTTATCTGAGGAAGCATCCTTTGGCAGAAGGGTGTTGCAGCAGGTTTTGGATCTGTGACAAGTATTATGCCACCCAGCTTGAGCATATAACCAATTTAGATGACTTCCCCCACTGAAGGAAAATGAAACATTGGAACCTACCTGAAGATTTCTTCTATTCAGTGGGGCAAAGTCAGTCAATTCCCACCCATACAGAAAAGAGAGAGAGAGAGACAGAGACAGAGAGACAGACAGACAGACAGACACACACACACAACATATGTTGATGGACATGTTTATTGTTTAAATATAACTAATTTTGCCAACACTTAGTGTTCTGTAATATGTTTGATAATACATTATTAAAGAATTCAGTACTTTCAATGGTATAAAATTTAACTTGATATCTAAATATGCTGGTATTCGTATTGTGGTATGAGACTATTTCTGTCATATGCCCCTTTGTTTAATTCATGTATTTCCTAATTTCAACTTTTATTTTTACCCTCCCTCTCACACATTAAAATACACATGCTAAGGAAACAGAGTGCTGCAGATTGCAGCAATTTTGTTTGGTAGAAACCTAACATATTTATGCAGATAAATTCTATAAATATGCCAATTAGTATGATTTTTAATGCTGAGCTATAAATGGTGCATTTTATGCTGTCAAACCAGTGACATACGTTTAGTTTTGATAAGAATGGCCTAAATTTCGTCTCAAAATTCTGTCCCGCCCCTCCTCTTCAACATTTTTGAACACTGTACATCTGTAGGTCTCTTTTCTTTTTCGATTGCTCAAGCATTCTCAAGACAAAACATAAAGTATGTCTGGGGCCTTTAAAGGGGGGGGGGGAAGAAGTATCCCACATTAATAGGGTTGCCAACCTCCATATGGAACCTGGAGATCTCCCTCTATTACAGTTGATCTCCAGTTGACCAAAATAGTTCCCCTGGAGACAATGGCTGCTTTGGAGGGTGGGCTTTATGGCATTGTACCCCACTGAGGTCCCTCCCCAAACCCAGCCCTTCCCAAACTTCACCCCCAAAATCTCCAGGTATCTCCCAACTCAGAGCTGACAACCCTACACTCTAAGAGTTCCTGACATAAACCTGTGACAAGCCACACTGTTCAGGAATTGCATTTGCATTAGTGCATGCAGAAGGCCCTGAACATCCAGTTTACAGCTTGTTTTGTTGTTGTTGTTGTTCATTAAGGATGGACCCACAAAAAGATTCCTTGCCCAGTTTACAAGTGTTAAAATACTTGTGATTGTATGACTGAGGCCCATAGAGAATGTGTGTTTGTTTGCTTCATTTCTTGGTCTACTTCTGTATTTTACCGAAAGTATCTTTGGAGGGGGAGGTGTTTTTTCTTCTGTTTTCTTAGGAAGTGAGATTACTCCGGATTTAGAGGAAGTAAATTTAGATTTTGTTTGTTTCCAGTTATTCCACGTTTTGTGACACCAAAGCATTGGGGGGGGGGGAACTGACTGAAATCCTCTGAAGGGAATTTAGTATATTGAGGCGGAACTGTTCTGCCTATTTTGTAGAGGTGGGAAGGAAAAATTAAAGAGTGTTAGCCAAGTATTTGTATATGAGTTTGACAGAAGGAGCTTGGAGACTTTTTAGGAGATGTGGAGAATAGTTTGGAATGGTTACATCTCAGAAGTGATCTGTGCATTCGGTAAAAGCATGTAGAGTAACACCTCTGCAACGACTTTCTAATACCTAATGGCAGTCACACATTCCGTTGCACTCATGCAAAAAATTTTCAGGAGTCCTCCATGAATATCAAAAACTAGATTGTAAGCTAGAAGACTGGACTTGGGCATATTAGATTTCCACAGAAAGGGATCTTTTGACATGCATATCCTTTGCCTGAATTCAAAATCCAGGAACCTCATACTGTATATTTCTTCTAAGTGTGGACCCAGCTTTATATTTATTTATTTATTTAAAACTTTTCTGTGCTACCTTTCCACCCAGGTAGGGTCCCAAGGTGGCGAAAAGCAGGACATAAGTGGTCAACAGAAAGTTTCAAGAGCATTTACAGTTCTCTGTGCCTATGAAAACTTGAATTGTCTGAACAGCTATGCTTGCCTAAGAGCAGCTTGCCTGTGTACACTTTCAGGAAAATATTTTCATAAGCTAGGCTTGAAAACCTATTTTTAATTTGATCTTTAAGATTAATACATTAAATATATCTTCATATGTAAATAGCTCTCCCTACCTATCTCACCAAAACAAAAAGGTTGAGCTATTCATTTGTAATGGAAGGTCTTCCATTTGTCCAAATTGAGGAATTAAGGGGGGGAAAGGTGAGAGGTTTGGGTGGTGGTGGGGGAGTGGTTGTGAAGAATTCATCAGGTTGTTTAGACTAGAAGTCCATCAAGACAACCTCCAAAGGATTCTTCTGGGTGATTAGGTGATACTGACCATAGCAGATAAACAACAGGACTCAAATGTTAGAACATTTCATTTTTAACTATTTCACTTCCCTATTTTTCCATTTGTGATGAGTAAGTCTTCACACACAATAAAATAAAACAGCTTGACCAACATGTGTGTCTTCAGGTTTGTTTGTTTTTAAGTAATATCAAGCAAAGCAAAGGAAGCATAGTCCTTGGATTCTGGCTTCAACGCTACACTATGATTACTTCCGTGCAGAATTTTGTTCTACTTTGTCATCTAAACTGAGAGGGATGTTTTGTTTTGTTTTTCGGAGCCTACGTACATCATCATCTCCTAGTTGTCCACTTCCTAGGCTTTGTCTTGTTTTACTATGATCTTTCCCAAATATCTTTTTTTGTGGAAAATCACAGTCAAAGCATATTTGCATAATGTATAGATGGGGAGGTACACATTTTTTATAAGGTTCTGTCACCAGTGTTCCCTCTAAGCCGAATTAGTGTGAGCTAGCTCACAGTTTTTTAGCCTCTGGCTCACACATTTTTGTCTTAGCTCAGGAAGGATGACTCCAGAGCAAACTAATTTATGCAGTAGCCAAATTACCCGCTCACAACTTTAATGCCAGTAGCTCACAAAGTAGAATTTTTGCTTATAAGACTCCACAGCTTAGAGGGAACATTATTTTTCTTGCTCCAGCCCCCCCCCCCCCACTGCCATTTTCACTGTGCATCATCTGAGGCCTTTCCATTGTTTTAGAAAAATCAATAATTGCTTGACTGCTATGGTATTACAACACTGAACATCCATTACCACAATCTACTAGTTTGCTACTTCTTCAGTTGGACCCAAGAACCAGATCTGTGAGCTGTACAGCATGCATGGTATCTCTATGGTATTATATGTCTTCAGGAGCGCTGGCACATACTGAGCTCCTTGAACGTAAAAATACCCCTCATTAAGGCTAGTAGGGCTAAATCAGTTTTCTGTTTAAGATATTGAATGTGCTTGGACCATGATAAATTTGTTTGATCATCTCGTCTTCATGAACAGCATAATTTTGGATTTGTCCTCATTTATCTCCAGTTATTCATTGTTACAGGAAGTGATAAATGTATTAATAGCATGTTTTAGGCCAACTTGGGTTCTAGAAAGCAGGACAAGGTCATCAGCGTATAACAGCACAGGCTCTGGTCAACTTTCCAGACATGGTGCATGGGTGGGTATGTTTTGTAAGCCTGGCACAAAGTCATTTAAATAGAGTTTGTTTGAGGTTAATTTTGAAATTTAACTCCGGTTCAAGGTTGTACTTTCTGTAAAGATTTTCAAAGTGCTTTTCCCAGCCTGTTGTTACTATGGGGGTTACACTTGCAACATTGCTGTGTGGCTTCAGTTTTGGGGTAATTAAGCGCCAGAGGGATGCATTGGGTTTCCCTTTGGCGGTTACTATTCTCTTGTCCCATACAGATTTCATAGTCAGGTGCTTCTTTTTCTTCAGTATGTTTTTATATTTCTGCATTGCCAGCAATAATGAGTGTTGAGCAGTGATTGTATTGCTATATATTAAGAGTTTATAGTGTTGCTTAATTTGATTTTTGGCCATCCTTCAGTCTTTGTTGAACCAGCGCTTTGTGTGATGACAGGATTTGCTTCATTTTCTTTTCCCTTTTCTATTGTTTAGAAAGACAGGTTCAAAAAGTTTGGTAAATGATGACATATTTTCTGGTGTGAGTGACAGTCCTGCTCTGTCAGGATTTTCTCTTTTAGCATTTGTACTTCCATGGTATGAAGTATTTTATAGCAGCTTCAGCCAATCTCTTAGACCACTTTTGTTTGGAGGTCAATACTTTGGGCCCAATCTGGCCAGTATTTA